GCCAGCGGGCGTAGCTGTCGAGTGCGCAGGCGGTGCAACTGCACCAGGCCTCAACGGGGCCGCAGAGTCCCGGGACGCCGGGCTATGACGAGGTGGGGACATAGGAGAAGGTGGGGGGGGGGGGGTCCCATTTCAATCCTCGCAAAAGGCCCCCCCCCCCCCCACGCCACGCCGCTCGAAGGCCACGGTGCCCCCAGCTGCCGCGTGTCTCGCTGGACCCTGCGATCGGCGCGGCGGTGCTGGGCGGAGATTGAGTTTGGTTCCCAGTGAATAGTGTGCGAGTTTCTGTGAGGCCGGAATAGTTTCACGCGTGACTGTCAGTCACCAGAACCACAGCAATCGCGAGATGTATACTGGACATGGTGCGCCGGGGGTGGAAATGTTATCCGGGGTCACGGAACTGGGAAGAACCGGCTGAAATGAAGCCCTGGTGCTGGGTTTTGTGTGTGTGTGTGATGCGCGCCGCATGCGGGCCCCATATCAAGCAGTACTGGGGCCATTCACACGCTCTGATGTGTAGCGAGACAAGGACTGTGCGTGTGTGCGTGTGTGTGTGTGCGTGTGTGTGTGCGTGCGTGCGCGTGCTGCCTGGCAGCAGATGCCGGGAGACGCTGGCAGATAGCATGAATCGGAGCACTTTCTAGCGGACTGCAGGGAGGACGTGAACCCATTATGTACATCATGTTCGGCATTTAAGCGCTCGATAAAGACACGCAAATCCTTATCCTTGTATATGACTATTTATCGATGAATCGATACGTTATTACAGCCATAGCTTTTAGCCATCACAGTATAGGAGGTCTGTGAGGCTCACAGTGATTTTCATCAGCATCATCGTCATCATAATATCCTTAATTTATAATCGGGCAAGGGATGCATTGACCGATAGGCCATGCACGATGAGACTCAATGAAATGCGCAATTGTGGGTGGAACTCTCGTGCGGGAATCCTCTGTTCCTTTAGGATGTATAAGTTTAAACTCTAAACACCTGTGTGAAGGGCAGAGTGCAGGCTTGCTAGGACTGCAGTTACTTCTATCCAGTCCACACCAGCAGTGGATATCATGGCAGAATTCAAAAAATCCACCTTGAGCGCTGAACGTGTGTGCTCAGTGATCACTGATGCAATCTGTGACGGCTTCGGAAATATTCTATGAAGGTTTAAAGAAACGTTTAGTGACATAGACACAATTGTGACTTTTTAAAACAAATTAGTGATTTTCTGGGTGTTTGTTTTCTCCACATCAACAGTTCTAAAGCAAGGGTTCTCTTTACGTTTGTTTTATTGTGTTTGCCCACAATTATCTCCGTTCGGACCTCTCGCAGAGAAGTGCAACCCCTCTGTGTTAGAGAATGGCCTGCGGAAGTGTACATCACAGAGCTACGTCTGAGATCCCCTGAGAGTGGCCTGTAATCCGTGCCATAGGGGGCCAGCACTTTCCCACACACCTCGCCATTCATTAAGAGCCATGGTCATCACACGATCGTCAAAATATATTAAATTCCCAGGCCTGGAATTCATCGAAATTAATTGCAGAAACTAGATTTATGTCATGGGTTTTTTGTGTGTGTATATATTGGTGACCGGGCTGAGACCATTAACTCACTGCCAGGGGCGGAGCCACAGGGGGGGCTGGGTGGGGCTCAGCTAACCCCTGGAATTTTTGGAAAGTCAGTAATCGGGATAACCGGATATCCGGCTGCTGCAAAATGCTGCAGGCTACCACCTTGTGCTGTCCTGCAGGCTGCCACCTTGTGCTGCCCTGCAGGCTGCTACCTTGTGCTGCCCTGCAGGCTGCTTGAGCGGCAGCCTTTCGAACTTATTAGCCACATCAGCGGCTCCGACCTATTAATAAACTCCGCGTTCAAATCCCTATAAATTAGTTTTATACATTTGTAGCGCCCATTGGAAAACATAAACACTGGATATCTCAGAATATTGAAGTCAGCCCCTCCCAAAGTCAAAATCCTGGCTCCGCCCCTGCTCACTGCACCTGAGAACTCAGTTTAATCACAAACCACCACTGACTGCATTCAAACTCAGGAGCTTGAAAGTCAGCGGTACCTGCTCGGCGCTCTGAGCTCTGAGCCACGCGGCGACCTCTTTAAACATTGACACACACACATACACACATATGTAGTGGAGTATGAAGGTGTGTTGTGGAAACTGCGCGATTGCATGACCACACGGACAGTGTGGGTTTATCTGGGGTCAGCCTGTGGAGAAGGCGTAAACAGTGTGGGTCGTGTTAGGACAGCCAGGTGCAAAGGCTGGGATGATGAGGTAACGGTTGGGCCAATTAAGACAGAGGATCAGCAACGGCGGTGATTGGCTGTGGCTGTTGTCAAGGGCGAGGAGGCGTCGGGATGTCTGGAGAAGGACAGGTGTTTGAGGACGAGAAGCGTGCAGAGGCACGCGGGCCAATTAATTAGCGATAATGAGAATGGGGATAAATTGGGGGAGACACAGAGAGACAGGGGTTGGTTAGAGTTGGGAGCTGTACGATGAAGACGCAGAGTTAGGAACGGAGTAGAAGCAGAGTCTAGAAACAGAGTTTGGAAACAGAGTAGAAACAGAGTTCGGAACAGAGTTGGAGACAGAGTGAGAAACGGAGTTGGAATAGCGTCAGCGGAGCTGAAGCAAGACGAAGTAGTTAGCAGTGGAGTGAGCGTAGCGATAGCGGAGCGAAGGCGCTGTGTGCGAGTTGCTGAACGGAGACTCGCTTGTGCGAAGACGCTGTGTGCGGAGGAGCTGAGGAGAATAGCCAGCAGTGGAGAGAGTGTAGCAATAGCGGAGGTGAAGACGCTGGGTGTGGAGCTGCTGAACGGGGACTCGCTCTGTGCGAAGACGTTGTGTGCGGAGAAGTGAAGTGATAGTGGGGAGACAAAGGTGGTGAGCGAGACGGGCGGAGCACGGCGAGTGAGCCGTGGTGACCAGGATACTGTGGAGTGTGGAGGACATGTTGAATGTTGTAAATAAAGCGGTGTTTGAAGAAAGACAGAAGTTGTCCGCATAAAGTCAAACACTACACATATATACAAAAACCAATTCACACCAGTAGCCACTTGGCCTCATCCGCCAGCAGTGTGGCCATGCAGAGCCAGACTGCCTTTGACGCAGAAAGACCGGAGTGCAACCACCGGCTTTTGCAGCGTCAAGGTTACGCTGACAGTCTGTTGGCCCCGGACTGGCAACACATTTCTTTTTTTTTAGTTGTTGTTGCAATTTCTGCTGAATGTGAGAGCGCCAGCGGTCAGCGATACTTCCTGCGGTGTTAATAGGCGAGGCCTCAGCACTCGGCCGAGAGGGCACGTCGACCGTCGCGAGCAAAGCGGCACTGTAGACACAATTGCCGCCGCGCCTGCTGGTGTTTTGAACTTTTTTTTTGTATATATGTTTAAAAAAAAACATATTTATAAATCAGCAAGCGTCTCGCGAGGGACGGGCGGGGGGGTGGGGTTTGTTTATCGTCGGCGGCTGCGAGGGGCGCATGTGTCGATTGCTGCGCACTTCCTTCCTGGCTCGGGAAACACAAAGCAAACTTGAGGCCAGCCCAATATCACGTTACGCCAGGCGGCGAGGCCAACACAGTCGCAGCCTTATTTGCCGCAAAAATCTTAACTGTTTGGCCTTTTGCCGTGATGGCGCATTCCAAAATTGCCCCGCGTGCGTTTTGGAGCAAGCTTGAGGCTGTTTTGTGTTTGTTGGTGGCGTTGTTGTTGTTGTTGAAAGAGACTTGCCTTAAATTGTTTACTTTAACAATATAAAGGCACCGTGCTTCACTCTCGTTTTGCTATTTTTACCGGAGGCAGCGTTAGAGAATATTTTTTTTCCTCTCCCATCTAAAGTCAGAATTTTTGCCGCAGTGCCAAAACAAATTACCTAGATGCTCGGCATGGAAACAAGCACGCCTTGTCACGAATATACACATATATGTATAAGTGTATAATTACGTATAACCTGGTCAGAATCAAAAATTGTGCATTAAATTCGGACACTGCATGAATAAATCTCGTCCAGGCTTGTGCGCGGACGTTTAAAGGTGTTCCCGCACTCTGAGCATGCCACAGCGTGACTTTGCGCAACGACCAGCCCGTTCGTTGAAGCATTCTGGCACGGCGAAAAATGGTCGGTCCTATACAGGCATAAAATAAAAAATACCCTACAAAAACACGTGCAAGCACACACACTCACGCACTCAAGTGTACACAAACCCCGGCAGGCGTAACACAAACTCAGCCGAGTGAAAATTCGTACCGACAGACGTGCATGGTAGCATAAACATCCAAACTCCCACACGCATCTCTGCTCACGCACATGTTACGCAGGTCCTAAGGACGACGGTTAAAATGGTGCCGGTGATATGTGCGCACGCTACTCTCGGTGTGCCCTGCCCTCGTAATTGTGCCTGGGGAAGGACGCGCCTCTGCGGAGGGGATGCCGGTGGTGGCCGGCAGTCGAGACTAATGATGGAGTGGCAGCCGAAGAAGGGAAGCAGACCCCAAGAGAGCATCCACCGGGGAAATGGCACGGTGAGGTCAGAAATGGTACATTGAGGTCAGAAACGGTACGGTGAGGTCAGAAATGGTACAACGAGGTCAGATTGCACGCAGGGACTGGATGGATTGTTAATTAGCGGCAGTGTAAGGGATGGCGACAGCTTGGATAGGCCTTCATCCAGCAGTGCATAAATGATGGCTGATGATAGTGATGACCATGATCATAACCCACTCCCACGAATAAAACGCACTGACACTAGGGTCATACGCAAGGCTTCATCTCAGCTGGGTCCGTCCGCGTCGGCGACACGAACAACGCTTCTGCACCCGGCACACCGCATCCAATGTACCACCTGTCGCTAAGGCCCTGGCTACTCGCCATGTGCCCCCTACGTTCAGCGAGCAATCAATCCCCCATCTGTAGCGTGTACGGCCGCTACGGGCGCCCTTGCGCGAGCAGAGGCAGCGGCGACGCGAACGCCCCAACGTGGCAATCGCACCTGGGTGGCCTTGTCGCAGGTGGAGTTGAGACCGTGGTGAGGCACGGGAGGCTCCCTGGGCCACTGCCCGCTCAGGTAGGGTCCCGTGAGGGCACCGGGGGGCCCCCCCTGCCAGCCGGCCCCTGCTGGGGCAGTCACGTGGAAGGTGCGAGAGCGCTGCACTGTGGAGGGGGGTAGAAAAAAAGCAGAGCGGACGACGAGCGTGAGCGGACGACGCGCGTGTGATTGTCGGACGCAAGCAGTGGCCGTTGCTGCGTTGCTTCACACGTTTTGCATTTCACACATTTTAAACGTCGTAAAAATTGTACAACTCGAGCCAGTGGAGCGCCACGACTCTCGAATTCGCGTCGCTCGCGTGACCGAGACAACCAGGGACACCCAAGGGCCGCGCCGCGTGTTTGTTGCAGTACGCGCGCACGTGTACAGCCCCCTTTGTCTCTCCACTGCTGGATGAGGGCCTCCCCACACACATGAGGGTCGTGGGAGTTTTATTTGATGGTAATTCACCAGGCTTGGTTAGTACGGGTTGGTTAAGGCGGTGGGCGCATAGGAAATACAGTACAACAGTGGAGTTTGCTGCACTGCCGTCTGCTTGTCAACCACGTGTAGTGTGCTAATTCACAGACACCAGTAGAAGGTACGCTCTCTCTTTTATTCCGGCCTTCACAGCCTTAGGGGATAACCACACACCGGGTCGGGACAGCCAACATGCTGCCAGACCCACAGCTTGAAGAGGGTGAAGATCACAACGACGACGGCAGCACGACGAGTTCCATTCCAGATCGCAGCAGCCCCGACTGTGAGTCAGAGCTCGCCTTTTATCTTCCCCAGCGTGGCCAGGCTCCGCCCTCGGGCCCGCACCCCTCTGGATCCCCCAGAGGGCTCCGTGCCTAGCCCACAGGTGCAATTGGTAGAACGGGCTGCTACCCCTAATTCCATTGTCCAACAATCTCCCAGCGGCACGCGCTACAGTGACTCATTCAATGTCACTACACATGTAGCACAGTCCCGCAGCTGTCGAAAACAACAACCAGGCGTGCACACGGTGTTCACCCAACCGAGCGCTATCTTGGCTCAACGCCGCTTAGCTTCCAAGATCTCACGCTATCGGATGCATTGCTGTTGATGCGTTTGTAGGGTTAAAGTCATTTACGGTTACGGAGATTCATATTTAAGAAGGGCAAACGTCAGAGATATTGTAAACTGCTCTTATGTGTCACGGAAGGGAAACTGAAATGGTTAGCACACTTTGCGCTTGAGCCTCGTGAGTCGAGTTCAATTCCAGCCATCGTTAATATCAATGGCAAAGTGGTATTTGAAGTAAGTCTCGTGCCACCCACATTCATCAGTCTGCATGAACCAGCCTGGTGAAGTATGGTTAAATAAAAAATCCCCCATAACTGCCACAGCATGAGGGGGCCCTTCATCGGGCAGTGGATTGACGAAGGGCCACCTCCGAATGGCACGGTTGGCTACGTACGGTGCGAAAGAAGTTCAACATATCATTAGACCTCCTTTGCCTGTACCAAAATGTAATAATAGGGTTTTTTTCCCTTTTTTCTGGCAACAAAACTGAAACCTTTTTACAAGTATTCATGTCTGCATTAACCACGATACCTGCAGTCAAAATGCAAACAAAAAACATACTATGATAATATATGCATTGTCCTTGAAACTGATTGGTCCACACCAAGGGACGGCTTTCTTTTGAGCCTCGACCCAATTGGTGCTCGACCAGATGACGCCAAAAGGCGTACAGCTCAAAGACAATGCACTATCAAAGTAATGAGGGCTCGGGGTGAGCATCTACATCATTAGACCTCCTTTGCCAGTACCAAAATGTAATAATAAGGTTTTTTCCCCTTTTTTCTGGCAATAAAACTAAAACCTTTTTACAAGGATTCATGTCTGCATTAACCACAATACCTGCAGTCAAAATGCAAACAAAAAACATACTATGAAAATATATGCACCCAGACTGCTGAAACTGATTGGTCCACACCAAGGGACGGCTTTGGTGTGGACCAATCAGTTTCAAGGACAATGCATATATTATCATAGTATGTTTTTTGTTTGCATTTTGACTGCAGGTATTGTGGTTAATGCAGACATGAATCCTCGTAAAAAAGGTTTCAGTTTTGTTGCCAGAAAAAAGGGGGAAAAAACCCTATTATTAAGTTCAACATACATATGCAAACAATTAATACTATTATAGGATATTTAGTAAGGGCAAGGGGGCACAGAAATGCTGGAACTGTTTTTCTAAATACATTCAGGGCAATTTAGCTTAAACTCAGTTTCCATCAAAGGTTTATAGAGGTGCGTACATTACAAAAAGAAACCATCTGTGTGTATAAAGTGCACGCAGTAATGGTAAACATTTCTCCAAAGGCAACGCACACCGCGAGCTTTCTTGCAAATGTAATTATAAATGCAACGGTACAGTTGATCATAATTGTGTTATTATTCACCTGACAATTACAAAGCGGGAGAGGCCGCGTTTTGGAAACGTGCCGGGCGAGGCCGTCGGGAGAGACTTTTGCAGAATCCTCAAGAGGTGGGGATCGTGGTGCTTGCGATGTGGACGCACGCAACGAGATGAAGGACACTAAAGGTAAAGATACCCCCGAGAGCGCACCCAGACTGCTGGCGCAAGTGCCATTAGCGAGCGTTGAGACAGAAGCATTCACGAGCATGGGGAGACCGCCCTTCGCGTGTGTATGTTGCCAAGTTGTGAAGGAACCTGGCAAAAAGAGAATAACGCAGTGTTCCAATTTACATATGGATGAGTCGGGTACCTCGTGCATTTTAAAGAGGCATCATTAGCAATGATTGACAACACGTAAGGGATATATATTTATTTCTTACACGTGCCATTATGATCGCGCTATGCCAAGTCGACACCTCCCCCAATTCCTTTTTGAAATTTATCGAGTTGATTCGGTCGCCGGACCCGTAACGCGAGCAGTAAATTACGATCTTCGCACTGCGTACATTGGCACGCGCGTGTGAATATTAACAACCGCGTTTTGACGCCGATGAGCATTCGTCGCTGCACTCGACAAAAATGCCATGCTGTCCCGCGTGTCATCAAAGAAAAATGTCACGTGCCGTCTCAACATTTAAATGTGAGCGCGCGCACGCACGCACACACACACACTGGTGCAGCCACTCAGGAGAAGGGGGGGGTGTATCCGCACATAGAAAGTCTCGCGCGAATCGGCAATGCATCTTGGCTGGCGTGAGCCAAGCTGCCCAATTCCAACCACCCCCAAACACTTTCTCAATCTCTCCATGGCCTGGCACATAGGCCTCTCTGGACTCTCCGGTGCAGTTGCACCGCCTGCACACTCAAGTCTCCCACCCCCCCTCCCTCCCGTATTTCCCGTGGATCACGGGCAGCCACCGTTCTTCGTGAGCGCTGTCGCGGCCTGCGCTCTCCAGCCTCCAAAACAAGGATTCCATCTTATCTGAGTCTGTGCAGAAGTCCGAATCTCGAATTGATTCATTCATTTGTGTATTCATTTGTGTTTTTTTTGGGGGGGGGGGGGGGGGGGGGGGGGGGGGGGGGGGGGGGGGGCGGGGGGAGGTTTTTCATGGCGGGAACTGCCCGTGACTTTCCACCACAAAAATCAGAAGCGGTTTGATGACCAGCGCACGCGACAACGCGGACATACGGGCGCCTCACGATGATGACTTAAGGGCCGTTCATAAATGACGTCACGCGATTTTGGACCATTTCTGACCCCCCCCCCACCTCGTCACACGGCGTCACAAAAGTCAAACCCCCCTCAAATATGACGTCACAACGCTCTGCCCCCCCCCCCCCGCCAAAATAAAACATGCATCAAATCGCTTTAAACTATTGTCATTGTAATGCGTATTTAATGTTGCGCTGCACTCTGATGTTGTAGGAGAGAACATTTATTAAAAAGTCTATTCAATTAAGTAGAACGTACTGTCTATATTTATTTAAAGTTGTGCATTTTGATGTGACGTCACATTTCTCAAACCTCCCCCCCCCCCTTCGTCACACATCGTCACAAATGTCTGACCCCCCCCCCCCCCCACGTGCGAGACGTCATTTATGGACGGCCCCTTAAGGCAGGAAACGAACATCTTCAAGTGGCTTCTGGGAGGAGCCAGATTGTTCTTTGCCGGTGCCACGTGTTGTGCACGCGCGGTGCACACGTGGTGCATGTCCCTACTGGACATCTGTGCAAAAAGAGCTTCATAGCTCATCAGATTCATCCTCCAGTTTAAATAAATATTCTGATTGTGCGCGGAGGGATGGAGGGATCACGTGTGCTTTCCCTTTGCGTCACAGCGTGTACCCAAAACCTTGACGCTCTAGCCAAGCCAAATTGTGACTACTCGGCATTTTTATAAAATGGTTTAAAATTAGCGCAGCGACATCTGCATGTGCGCACTCTGCGTGTGTTTGCTTGAGAATTATTAACGGCGGTGGTTTGTTTTTTCGAGAGCCGGACTTTGGAGACTCGGTAATAAGAAATAAAACATTTCCCATGGCGCGTGACGACATGCACACACTAGGTGCCTCTTGAAAATGTGTTTTCCTTCTCGCAAGGAAAACAGAAAACGCAGGTCGGAGCGTTTCTGCTTAAATTTTCGGTTTATGTTTTATGGTTGGCGCAGAGGTAAAGGCCATTGAGCACTAAAAGCTCATTTTTGATGGAGACCTGGTTACTAGAAGCTGGTTACTACAGCAAAAACACACGGACAAAACGATCCGTAAAAAAAAAACTGTACACATGGTCAAGTTTCGAATGGCAAAATATCATGCATCAATATTACGGTAACAACCAGCACGGGAAATACAAGGCTAACTAATGGAACGCATCGCATACAAAACAAAATGTATAACTCAAAGTCTGCAAAGCAGAGGAATGGATTGCGCGCACACATGAACGGAAATCTGAGGGCCCAGAGGTGATTTAGAAGGAGGACAAGGACGGTAAGGTTCTGATCCCAAACATTTTTGCTCGGTTATTCCAGAGATTAAGGGCCGCCATAGAGGAAGAAATTGATTGACAGCTCACGACAACGCTTGAGGGATATATTTATGAGCAATGGGTGTGACAATCATCTATGTCCATTGTGGCAGCCCTTTTATAGCCTTGGGAATTTCACAGTCTCATGA